GTGATATGAAGAGTATTAGTTTCCCAGCAGACTTCCCCAAATTTCATTTGAAAACACTACTTACATACAGACAAGTACAATATCAGAAATGCTATTATTTCTAAAACATACATAATTTTGATTGTATGTAGTGATAGGAAAAGTGTATTCTAGCTGCCTTTCTTATCCTTAATATAGAAATTCTAAGTTGTGTATATATATGTGTGTATGTTTAGACTACTAGCAGTTTATAACTTATGGAAATGTGCAACATTTCAAAAATCCAAAGTTTTACTCAGTAGCTGGGAAATTAGGGATCACAATAAGTGCAGGTACTACTTTTAGTTACCCACATGCAATATAATATTGTGTATGTATGTATGTGTGCATGTATACATATTGTTGTTGTTTGTCCTTTGTTCTCATCTGGGTAAGTGGCAAGATATAGGTCAGGATGACTAAAGATGGCCCCCGTGTATACATGTACTTAACTTACATGTTATATTTATAGATAGTTGAAAGTTCTCAGTGTGTGTGTGCGTGTGTGTGTGTGTATGCGCGCGCGCGCATATATACCCTAAGAAATGTAACAACTTAATTAAATTTTAGGTAGAAAACAGCCTCCAATTAGACTTGAATCATCATGCCGGAGATGTCACTGTAGAACAAACATTATTCTTCTTTGCACAGCACACATACTTCATTACTGAACTTTGGATTCACCTTGTAAATAGCAAATCGCAGCAGGGGGAGTAATTGTTTTGAAAATACTGTGGAAAATATAAAAGGAAGCAAGAAACCAAACTAAGAGTAGCTCTTAATGGAAATTCTGAATCCTGCTAAGCAATGAGTATTAATTATAACTTGGCTGAAGTCAACAAAGTCCACACGGATCGTTAGGGTCACTACAGTACGCAAATCTGTTGCACAGACTTTTAGATCATAATTTGTACCTCACGAGCAATACCACACAATGAAATGATATGACCTCAGCATTAGCAATTATTATTATACTTTAAGGAGATATGTGGGAGCAGCTAGGTAGATAGTATGGATAGAGTGTCGGGTTGGACTCAAGAAGACTCCTCTTTCTGAGTTCAAATCTAGCCTCAGAAACTTACTAATTGTGTGCCTGGTCAATTCACTTTACCCTGTTTGCGTCAGTTTCCTCATTTGTAAAATGAGCTGGAGAAGGTAATGGCAAAACACTCCAGTACCTTTGCTAAGAAAACTCCAAAAGAGGTCATACAGAGCTGGACACAACTGAAAAAAAAAGCAACTGAAAAATAACAACAACAAGTCTACCAAGACATACCATCGTATATAGCTGGACCACTAAATAATAAGAAGTAAATAATTAGTAGTCTCTGTCCCTAATAGCACAGAGATCTTCTCATTTGATCCTCAAGAGGAACACAAGGTAGCAGTCAAATAATCAATCAAAACTCATCTGCTATATATTTCCTCCGTGCTAGGAATTGTGTTAAATTCTGGAGATGGGAAGAAAGGCAAAAATAGTTCCTGCTTTTAAGGAGCTTATATTTTCCTGGGGGGGGGTGCAGGGGGAGACAACATGTAAATATATTAGGTCTGTATGAGATATTTACAGATAGGAGGGAGACACAGAGGAGAAGGCATTAGAAGGTGGGAAATCTGGGAAAGGCCTCCTGCAAAAGAGAAGATTTGAGCTGATATTTAAAGGAGGCCAGTGAAATTAAGAAGGGGTCGTGAGGTAGAATATTTTAGTTCCATCTTACATACGAAGAAATTGAGGCTCAGGCGGTTGCTCTGAGTCTACCAGCTAGCGAATGCCTAAGCCCAGACTAAAATCCACGTCTCCCACCTTCTGATACAGTATGCTTAGACGGCACTCTAATAACTTGCTTTTGAGGTCTGGTGCTGAGCAACAGACAGAGACAGCACATCTTTGAGTCAGGATGACATAGTTTCAAATCCTGCTGTTGACACATGCTGACTGTGGGGCCATAGGCAAGGCACTTAACTTGTCATTGTTCTACACGACTATTACCTAGAAGAGATGGTGATCTGCACTGGTAGAGGGAATTTCTTCACTGGTGAAATCACAAATTCAGAACAATATAAATAAAAAAATCTGCCCCATGCTTTTTTTTTTATTCAATCCTGATGATTCCCAAAATTATCACCATCTTTAATATTAAAAAATCCCTATGAATAGATTTCCTCAGTGGTGTGCTCCTTATAGCAATCTTTGAAGGCTGTGAATTCCTCATTCCTAACCCTTTCCAAGAAGGTCTCATTCTAGTGGAGGTAGGGAACCTGCAGCCTCAAGGCCACAAGTGGCCCTTTAGGTCCTCAAATGTGGCCCTTTGACTGAATCGAAACGTCCTCTTAATAAAAGAATTAGTTCTGTGAAGTTTGGATTCAGTCAAAGGACCACACAGGTTCCCAATCCTTGCAACACCTCATCATGGTGTGCTGGTGATAGCAGTTCTCAAAGGCTAAATCAACAGGTCATACTCTGGGACACCTTATTAAGCTAGAAGACCAGCCTACCTAAGTTCAAAGATGCTCATTACCAGAAGATTAAGTCACCAAGTGTTTTCTTTAGCCCTAACAGAACATCAAGGCTATATATTAAAATGTAAAGGGATTGCAATATTCGTTGGTATAGTCAGTCAACAAACATTTATTAAATATTTGCTATATAGGGAGTATCCATACCACAAATTCATAGATATTCCAAATATTGGACTGAAAAAGAAACACCCAACAATATACATCAAGTTAAGCTGCATACCCATCCCTCCAAATCAAACTCAAGGAGTAAGCTCCTTGAGGACAAATTTAATTTATTTGCTTTGTTTCTCCAGCATCTAGGACAGCGCCTAGCACGTAGTAGGTGATTAATAAATACTTGTTAAATGGAGTGTTCAAGGTAGTTGCTAAACCACATCTAGAAGCAAACAACCTCTATTTTCCATTTTTAAACAATCTATGTTTGGTATATGCAGCCTCACCTATTAGGCTTGAAGGAGTCTAGGGACCTGGGTTGTTCTGAAATGCCCTCCTTTCTCATTTCTGTCTCCTGACTTCCCCAGCTCCTTTCAAGTTCCAGCTAAAATCAAATCCTGTACAAGATGTCCTTCTCTGGCTCCTTTAATTCTAATGTCTTCTTTCTGTTGATTATTCATTATTTATCCCATATATGGTTTGTTTGTACATAAGTGTTTGATGTCTCTTGCATTAGATCATAGCAGGGACTGTTTTTGCCTTTCTTCGTATCCTCTGTATTTAGCACAGGGCCTGGAATATAGTAGGCATCTTATAAATGCTTTTTGACTGATTGGGTTCAAATGAAGTTTCTGGCCAGTGCTAGCTGTGTACTCCTGGAAAATTTGCTGAATCTCCTCTTGCCTCCAGAGTCTCTAGGGCAAGAGTTCTTAACCTGGAGTTCACAGACACTGAAGGAATTCAGTGGACAGATTGGGGGGGGGCATGAAATTGAATGAGGGAAAACAATTACATCTTTATTTTGATATAATCAATTTCCTTTATAATCCTGTGTATTCCATTTTATGAATTTATGAACATTATTCTGAGAAGAGTTCCATGGGTTTCACCTGACTGCCAAAGGGTACCACACTATAGAAAAGATTAAGAACTCCCTCCCTAGAAATTATGCACCAAGACACAAAGGGTTTGAGATTTGCCTGAATTTGAATTACCTGTGCTGAGGAGATCACAGTTCCATAAGGTATATTTATATTCAAGTTAAGGTTACCATAATTAGAACAACTGAGCTACACAACACAGGACAAAAGATGGTATGAAAGCCCAAGGGAGAATAAACTTCCCCTGAGATTGTAAGGAAAGGCACAAAGAGAAATGTGTAGCAATTTGATAGATGGGCAGTTGACCCAGCATCACACAGCTAAGTGCCCAAGGTAGCCAGTTGCCCTCAGCAGAACTCAATGTACCCCCCAGAACAATGTCCTAGGAAAGGAATTCTGGTGCGGGGTGGTGCAGCACACAGGCATCAAAAAAAGATTAATTGATTACACCAACTGAAGGTTCCACTTCATCCAGAGCACATGAAGGCTATCCCAAATCAAGTTTGCAGCTGAGAATCAGAGGTTCAAAAACCCCAGGCAACCAGAAATTTTCAACTAACCAAATGAAATCTGAAACATTAACCCAGATACACACACGCAGTCATTTCCAGGCCTGGCCCCAAGGACACACACGTGAGCCTGACTGGTCGGGATGTCTATTCTGAAGGTAAAAGTGAAGCCGCAATTCCTTAGGGATAGAAAGGGAAATATTTGCGACTCTAATGCCAGTTAGAATGCACTTTCAAATCACTCCTTGAGAAGCAAGGTGTCATAAAGCCAGCAGCGCAACCTGGTGGGTTTAGTTGAAAGTAATTAAAAATCATGTGGAGAGAAAGCTGCCGCTTGATTCCTAACTGGACCCAAGCAGTCACCTGCTGATCCTTTCGCTGCCCCTACCAACCCCGAATGCAAAAGCCCTAGAAAGGACGAGTGACTTTTTTTTTTTTTTGGGAGGGAGAGAGAGAGAGAGAGAGAGAGAGAGAGAGAGAGAGTCAACGGGTTATTCTGCGCTCAGTGCAACTTCACGGGGCTCCCCGGGCTCCAAAGGGAGGCAAGGGGCACTGGGACGTGACTTGGTCAGAGCTGGACTGGATCTGAGGCTGTCGCCCTGGCAGAGCGCCCCAACTCGGAGGGCACCCAACCTTCCGCCGCTGGCCCTCGCGGAGCTACCAGGGCCACCCTTCAGCTTCACCCATCAGGAGCTCCATGCCCTCTCTGGCGCCCACGCTAGCTCCCTGCCAGGCAGCTTGTCCTCCTCTCTTCCTCTTGGGGCAGCAGAGCCGGGTGGTGCCCGCCACAAGAGCGGGCTTCAACAGACCAGCGCCCCGCACGCCCCCCTCCGCTACTAAGATGCTAGCGAGCATGTAAGGAGTCCGGAGCACAGCCAGCCCCACCACCCCGGGACCCCCTTTAGGACCCCCAGCTTACCGTGCCGGGGCTGAGGCTGCTTGGGGGCCCCCTGCAGCTTGTCCCGTCTACCGCCCAGCGAGCCCTTCATCCTCCGAGATGCTGCTCCCCTGCCCCCTGGCCCCGCCATGAGGGAGCGGCGGCCGCCCGGTGCCCGGGCACAAGCACACGTCCGTCCACTGGCTGGCTCACAAGCTGGGAGAAGGGTTGAGAGCGGGGGTGGCAGAGGCGGCGGCAGCAGTCAAAGGGGTCGGTGAGGCAGGCGCCGCTCGCTTGCTTGTTCTCTGCCTCTCTCTCCTTCTCCGGCTCGCTCCCTCTCTCCCGGGCTGCTCTCGGGCAGGCGGGCAGCCGAGAAGTGGTCCGGGCGGCGGTCCCGCCTCCTCTCCGGCCGGCAGCCGCGCTTCTGCCACTCAGGCTGGGGCTGCCTCCCTGCCGGACCGGGACCCGGGTCTGGCGGGGCGGTGCGCTCCCTCCCTTACTCTCGGCCGCCTCCCCCGCGCTGTCAGGGGCTGGGGCCAGGTGGCATCCAGGGCATCTCTCCTCCCCTGCCCTTGGCACCTTGCTCTTTGATGCCACGGCAAGAGAAGAACGGGTGGATGCTGCAAGGGGAAGGTAGAAATGAAAAGCAGAGAGCCCACGAAGAAATCGCCTTAGACGGAGTGACTCAGGGGTGGCAGGGAGGTGGGGGAAGGGGAGAAATGATGTGTGCCAGCAGCCAGGAGACGAAGTATTAACGAGAAGCCCCGTGCCCTCACACCGCTCCCCAGTGAGCACTGCTTCGGGGGCCTCATCTTCCTACTTTGGATTTAGTAGTTCCTTTTCTGTAGAGTTTGGACCCCATCATAACACAAACACACACACACACACTTACACACACGTTCACACAGTGCTCCACCTCTTAAGACACCCCTGTTCAGTTATCCTTCGAAGACTTCACTCAGAGACCTTGAAGCTCAGGAAGAGCATCCCTGGGCCCCAAACCCTAAAAGGACTGGGTATCGTTTAGTCAAACCTGCCCACCCACCCAGACTCCCACAATCTTCATTTTTCAGATGAGGCAACTTGAGGTAAAACCACTTGCCCAAGGTCACAGACCTAGTGAACATAACAGAACCAGGAGAGCAAGCTTGGCATGATGGAGTGAGCATGTCCTTTGAAGTCAGACCACCAAGCACCAATAACTCAACTCTGGCACCTCCATAACCTTGATCAAATTACCAAAACTTTCTTGGATTCAGTTTACTCATTTGTAAAATCAAGAAGGGGTGAAATAAATGGCCTTCAACAGCCCTTCAAGCTCAAAATGCATGATCCCATAGAACTCTTCATTCATCCAACATTTAAACACCTACTGTGTGTAGAACACTATGTTAGACACTGAGGCAAATAGAGGGTTTAGGTAAGACAAGGGACCCTAGCATCTTGGAGCATACACACAACACACAGTTACATCTACCTTGATGCTTTTCTAGCTCACCTTCCTCCCATAAGCCACTCACCTCCTGCCTCCACCTGACTGCCAACAAGCACAAACCAGGAAACAGTAGACCTCTTCTACAGCACTAATGACTTGGGTCCTAGACAAAGCTGTCACAATCTAGCGAGGAGAGCCTCAGCAAAACCATTTCTCCACTCTGGGCATCATTTTACTGAACCGTCAAATGGAAATACTCACACATAAAATGTTGTCAGGGGAAAAAAATGAGGTTAAGTAGTGGAAAGATGCTGGGGCTCTGGCCCCAGAGCATCAGGGTTCAAATCCCACCTTTTATGTTTACAAGCTGTGTCACATTGGGCAAATCTCTAATTTCCTCAGCCTTGATTTCTTCACCTATAAAAACGAGGGGGTTGAATGACCTGGCTTCTGAGAAGGTCTCTTCCGGTGCTAGCTATTTGATGCTGGGGTGTTTGTATATTGTCTTCCCCATTAGAATGTAATCTTCTTAAAGATAAGGACTGTTTTGCGTTTCTTTGTATCCCCAGGGTTTAGCACAATGCCTGATACATCGTAAGTACTTTTTTTTTTCTTAACTGACTGCCTGATAGGATCTTATGTGGAGACACTAACAATTATGAAGAAATATGCAAATGTAGTGTATCTAGTTATTATGATCATTTAATACCCATTAGACCCAAAACTTTAGCAAGTTTTGTTATTATATTTCTGATATAACCACATCCTCTGTCTTTTAAAGAGGTGACCTTAAAACCTCTGGTATTAATCTACCTATCAAAATATGGAGGAGACCTTCCCTTTCTCAGTAGAAAATTTCAGATATTAGGGTAGAGATGAAAAATGAGATCAGGAACTGGAATACCTTCTCCTACCAGAGTCTGGTAGAGAAGCTTACAGCCCAAATTCTGCTTTAAGGTAGGTCAGGGAGATGTGGTGTTTACTTCACAGAAATTAGTTACATTGAATGAAGTCAGATTCTTCAAAGACAGCATTCTACTGCAATCTCAAAGGCAAACCCTTCCAACCTTTCCTTAGATCAGCTTCTCAAAGCAACACCAACTACAATTGTCCTACTCCTTTCAAGCTACAAAATATTCTGCAGTCTCCTCTAATATGACTCTGTAAGCAAAATTGATGGGCTTTCCTCATGGCAAACACAAGAATCCTTCTACCTTTCTTTGAGATTCATTCATTGTTCATTCTCATCTCTTAGGATCCCTGACTTAAAGACTCTATTAATTAAACAAACAAATAAATAGAAACACAAATCATCTTTTCCTGTAGTTATGGGTTTCTTAGCTCCCATTCATTCTGCTCACTGCAATCTTTCATGGTTTTGTAATGCAGAGGGAATGTGAAGGTTATGATCCATGAGAGCCTTGAACTCCAAAAGATATCAAAGTTCAGCTTAAAAAAACCCTATGCAATTTTATTCTAATTCTTATATTAAAAAATACTATATCTAAGCATAATCCCATGGCTGTCTTACCTGGATATCTTTATTCAGAAGACTTCATACAAGAAAGAGCTTGATTGAAGATGTCAGCAAACCAATGTGAATTCCTAATGTATTCTAGGGGGTGTATCTATTTTGTTTTAAGATAGTAGACCAATACATTTTTCTCTCTACTTTTGATAGCATTGAAACCCATGAAATATTATCAGAGTTAGGCCCACTTTGAAAATAATATTGGCTACCATTTTGCTTCTAGATGAAAAACTGGACCACAAATCAAACTTGATACCTTTTAACAATGAAAAAAAAAAAACCTCCTTCCACATTGGTCAATTCCTGTATTTTCCTCATTAAAATTTTCAAACATTAAACAATGAGGTCATTTACTCAGGTATATGAGCGTCCCAACTTTAAGCTGTCCTAAGAACCAATAAAAAAAAGTGTACTGAAAACTCTTTTACATTTGTATTCAGTCACTTTAGTCATGTCTAATTCTTCATGACCCCATTTGGGATTTACTTGGCAAAGATTCTGGAGTGGTTTGCCATTTCCTTCTCCAGCTTATTTTACACATGATGAAACTGAGGCAAACATGGTTAAGTGACTCACCCAGCGTCACACAGCTATTAAGTGTCTGAGATCAGATTTGAATTCAGAGAGATGAACCTTTCTGACTTTAGGCCCCACACTCTACCCACTGTATCACCAACTGCCCTTATATTTAACACTTATTAAACCTTTTTCATTTATATAGTATAAATACTATGCATCTATATAGCATATAGTATAGCACACTATATTCACCATGACATTATAGTAAATACAAGCTCTGGAATCATAGGAACTGAGTTCAAATGCTGCCTCTCAAGCTTGCTACATGGTTGACATTAGACAAGTCACTTAACATTCCTGGACCTCAGTTTCTTCAGGTATTGAATGAGGCCATTAGAATATATAGCTTCTGATGTGCCTTCCAACTTTAGATCAATTCTCTTTATCTTTTTTTTAAAATTATAACCATAGTTCAGGTGGGTGGAAATGAGAAATAATACCAACAATGGAAAGACCAAAGATCAGATGGATCCAAGAGATATCAAGAGTTAAGCAATGCCATTATATCTGTGTTTAGAAAAAAAGTTTCCAAGAACCTAGACTAATGTGTGCTTTCTTTAATTTGGAGCACTATTATACCACTTGCAAACTGTCACCTACCCATTGCTTTTGATTATGATTCCTTCTTACATGGTGAATCCAGTGGCATCTTTTGCATGCATGCATGCATGCATGCATGCATATATTGATATAGGCAGATCATCAAAACACCTTGCTTATAATCAGAGAGTCAATGGTACAGTCAAGAATGTCTGCCTGCTGGTACACTAGATAATTCCCTAGGTCATACAGCCTTTCAATTCTTTAAATCTTTTGAAAATGATTGCTTATATCAATAAAATAGGGATAAGGAAGATCAATGAGTTGGGTTCACAACTAAAAAAAACTAGAAAAATAACAGATTAAAAATCCCCAATTAAATACCAAATTGGAAATCCTGCAAATAAAAGGAGAGATTAATAAAATTGAAAGTAAGAAAACCATTGAACTAATAAATACACCTAGAAGCTGCTTTTATGGGGAAAAAAACAATAAAATAGATAAACCATTGATTAATTAGATTTTAAAAAGGAAAGAAGAAAACCAAGTTACTAGTATCAAAAATGAAAGGGATGAATTCACCACCAACGAAGAGGAAATTAGGACAATTGTTAGGAGCTATTTGGCATAATTATACACCAATAAATTTGATAATCTAAGTGAAATGGATGAATATCTACAAAAATACAAATTATCCAGGTTAACAGAAGAAATAAAATACTTAAATAGCCCAATCTTAGAAAAAGAAATTGAACAAGCCATCAATGAACTTCCTAAGAAAAATTCCCCAGGACTAGATGGATTCATAAGAAAATTCTACCAAACATTTAAAGAACAATTAATCCCAATACTATATCAACTATTTGGAAAAATAGGCAAAGAAGGAGTCCTACCAAATTCCTTTTACAACACAAATAATGATGCTAATACACAAATCAGGAAGAGCCAAAGCAGAGAAATAAAATTATAGACCAATTTTCCTAATTAATACAGATGCAAAACTTTTAAATAAAATCTTAGCAAAGGGATTATAGCAATATATCACTAGGATCATATGCTATGACCA